CCCTTAAATTTTTAAATTGATTAATTAGTCCCTAGATTTTGTCATGAAATTTTTAAAATATAAAAAATGAGTCGTTTTCGAAAAAATATTTACAAAATAGCCCTTATTATGCTCAAATTTATATCAGCTACCTTTTCAAAACTAAACTCAAAAGTAATTGGTAAAAATGAAATATTTCAAAATATAAGGACCAAACGAAAATATACACTCGTAAAATGATATGAAACTTTCTCAAAACTAAATTAAATGCGTTTAATGATGAAACTAATATGAAAAATACTCCTCAGTCTCGTTAAATTTGTAATTTAACCACTATGATTAATTTGAAATATGTTTTTAACACCCTGCAAGATTTGTTATTTACCTATCACACCCTTAAAACTTTTAAATTGATTAATTAGTTCCTACGAAAATTTTAAAATATAAAAAATGGGTCATTTTCGAAAAATATTTGCAAAATAGCCCTTATTATGCTCGAAGGAATTAGTAATTATATACCAGCTACCTTTTCAAAACCAAGAAATGTAATATTTCAAAATATAAGGACCAAACGAAAATATAAACGTGTAAAATGATATGTATTTTTCTCAAAACTAAATTAAATGCGTATAATGATAAAATTAATTTGAAAAATACTTCCAAAAAATATTAAATTTGTAATTTAACCACTATGATTAATTTAAATTATGTTAAAAAAAATTGCATGCAACACCCTACAAAATTTGTTATTTACCCATCACACCCTTAAACTTTTAAATTGAGTTATTAGTCCCTAGATTTTGTTATGAAATTCCTAATTCATTCAGTAACTAGTCTAAGATTTAATTAATCTAAGGGTGGTTTGTGCAATTTTTAAAATATAAAAAACGAGTCATTTTAGATAAATATTTGCAAAATAGCCCCTTATCATTTTTTAAGGAATTAATAGTCATATACGAGGTACTTTTTAAAATATTTTTAAAATATAAGGACCAAACGAAAATATAAACCCGTAAAACTATATGTATTTTTCTCAAAACTAAATTAAATACGTCTAGTGATAAAATTAATCTGAAAAATACTTCCAAAACTGATTAAATTTGTAATTTAACAATTATGATTAATTTGAAATCGGTTAAAAAAAATTGCATGCAACACCCTATAAAGTTTGTTATTTACCCAACACACCCTTAAACTTTTAAATTTATTAATTAGTCCCTACGAAAATTTTAAAATATAAAAAATGAGTCATTTTCGAAAAATATTTGCAAAATAAAATAGCCCTTATTATTTTTTAAATAATTAGTAATTATATACTTTTTCAAAATATTTTCACTGATTCTTTCTTACAAAGGCGTTTCCATTTATTTTAAAAAATACTTGAATTAACCCTCGAAAGCATATCTCCCTCTCTACAATTTCGCTTTATCTCTCTCACCGTCTCTCTCCCCAAGAACAGACCTTAGAGCTCCAGTGCCTTTAATGGCAGAACCGGAAGCCAAGCCAGAGCTTAAAGAAATTGAAGAAAACGCGGAACCTCCTCTCGTATACAAGGTAGATTCATCTTAGTTTTTGAAAGTTCCTTCTTCTGCCTTTCTCTAGATGCCCTATTTTGCTTGACGCTTCTGTAATTCTTTTTATTGTTGTTGTTGTTCTGATTCTCTCAGACGTGGATTTTGAAAGTCTCGATCCACTGCGAAGCCTGCAAGAGGAAAGTTAAACGAGTTCTCAAGGACGTTGAAGGTTGATTTCGATGTTTCGTCCTCTTTGATTTTGCTGATGGAATCTTTCTCTTTCGTTCTGTGTTTTTGTTCCGTACTGAGATTTCTCTTTTGAGATTAATGCGTACTAGGCATCTTTGTTTCCGAGAAAATTGAAACAAGTTTTGATGATTCTGCTATGGCGATTTCATGAATCCGCATCCTGTTTCTCTACTCGAACTCGTTATTTCTTCTCTTTTTGGCATATTCGTTTGTCGATAACTTGATTTCTGTAACTAATGGCGATAGAAACAGTCAGAATTTTCTATCTCTCTTTGAAACTCGCTGTTTTTCTCTTTGTTCTCAAATCGATTATCGTTGTTTCTCTGGAATACGGATTCGAGAATATCTGCTTAACGATGAACGTAACCTTTCAGGAGTTTACGAAACGGATATCGATTGGAGGCAACAGAAAGTAGTTGTGAAAGGTAACGTCGAATCGGAAACTTTGATAAAGAAATTGTTGAAGACAGGGAAGCACGCGGAGCTCTGGCCGGAAAATTCTGATTCCAAAGGAAAAAAGAAAGGAAAATCGAAGAAGAAAGAGAAACAAAGCGACTCTGAAAGCTCCGACGAAAGCAGCGGCCATGAAGACGAAAAGGAAAAGGTGAAATTAGAAGTTCAGGACCCGACGAAAAATGGAGACACCGCCGGGAAAATCACTGACGACGGCAGTGGTGGCCAAGCGAAGCAGCCTAGTTCTGCTCCGGTATGCGACGGCCAAACCAGCGGCAGCGGAGGCAAAAAAAAGAAGAAGAAAAAGAAGAAGAAGAGTAGCGGCGGCGGAGGCAATGCCGGCGGTGAAGCTCCCGGTGAAGCTTCAGCGATCGGAGCACCGCCGCCCGGTCCAACTCAGGGTCTTCCAGAACCCGGTCCACAACCCCTAACCGGCCCCCTTCCAATTATAGCGAACGAGAGCTCTCCACGTCACTTCGTGACTCAATACGCACCACATTCCTTTACGCACCCACTTTATTCCGTGCGGTACAGTACAGCATACGCTACATGTTCTCAGCCCCAGCCCGAATCATATTATGCCACGCCGCAGCAATATTCCTATGCGCACGTGCATCCTGGAGTACGACACGAGTTTGACATCCCGCCGTCCGATTACGAGCCATATTCATCACAGCCGTCCGATTCTCTCGAGATATTCAGCGATGAAAATCCAAATGGGTGCTCAATCGTGTGAGAGAATTTTTGTTCGCCCAAATTACCATATTGAACACCGTAGATGCAAAATCTCGAACCACTTGTAGAGTATGTGGAGGGGTAGTTTCGTAAAACTCTCTATTAGTATCTTGGTATGTTCTGAATCCTTGAGTCTCTCGTATTTAAAAAAGAAAAAATATATATATATATATATCGTGTATAAATAAATTAGGTTTATTTAAATCATATTACACGTTAAAGGTATGAAATTTGAATTTTTACTGTAATTATTTTATATTATTAAAGTCGGATAAATAATGATTTGACGTGACGTAATATTCGTGATAAATTCTCTAGATAATGATTTTTTTTAATAAAGATAAATAGATGTACGTGTATATATAATATTTTTAAATATTATTTAAACATTTATTGGTATGCGACTAAATCGAGAACACTGAAAAACTTTGAAACGGGAACTAAATTATTGAGACAGGTATATTATTCAACTTTGAGTTAAAGCTCGTGAAATGCATTTGTTAATACAACGGTTAATGACTGATAGAGTACATATTAAGGTGCATAAGCACAGTAAGAGGTGACAAGAAGACGTGCTCGTAGGGCTCAAAAAAATGGTTTTTAAAGTTTGATAATAATCAAAAGCTCTAATTGTTTATAATAGATTCGACATCTCGTTGATGTTATATTAAAAAAAAAATGCATACGACATTAAATATGATTTAATTACATCATACCATGATTTTTTCTTAAAATTTCTACGAGCTTCGGTCTCGTTTATCTAATATGATTCCTCTTGTGGTCTATTACCAAAAGGCCCTTAAAATGTCAATTTGCCATACATTATTCTATTGACGATCAAGGTTAATATTGTAAATAACATAATGTTTCCGACACTTTCTAAAGGTCATCGGTTTTTTTCCTCTCTTTTTCTTTTTCACAATATTTGATTTGATTAGAACAACAAACTAACAAAAATCAAATAAAGATAGAGAATAAAAAAGCATAAAGAACAATACCCACCAAAAATTGCCTTTAATATTCTTCTTTTTTCTCAATTTCTAGAGAGTTTATATTATCTTTAATATTCTCTTTGCATTTATTCATATTCTTCATTTGAGGACATCCTTTATTTATTATTAAAAATATTCCATTTTGTCTTTTCAACCGTCAAATATTTGATATATTTTATCTTTTTAACATTTAGTTTGTAGTTTGTATTCTATTTAAATATTGTAAACATTAATGAAAATTGGACTTTAGATCCTACGGTGACTTTTGATCCCCTATGTTTTTTTTGGACTTTCAATCCCAGTTAGGTTTCTTATTCTTGATACGGAATCAGAGTCATGCCCTAAATTAATCATGTCAATAGAATTCTCAAATGTCGAACAAAGGACTATCGAGGCCCCTCGAAGGCATAGTAAAAAAATGACTAAGACTCCAAAAGAAAATGAGTCGAGCCTCGATTAAGGGGAGACGTACTTTGTTCGAGGGGAGGTGTTGGATGAAAGTCCCACATTGGTTAATTTAGGGAATGATCATTAGTTTATAATCAATGAATACTCTCTTTATTGATGTGAGACATTTTGGGGAAGCTCGAAATAAATGAGAGCTTATGCTCAAAGTGGATAGTTTTTTTTAGGTCATTTGAATACCGAGAGTAAAAATATTCTTTTTTCCTTTGAATTAGGTTAATTTGGTAGGTTAATTTGGTTTGAATATCGGGTTAGGACCCAACCATACGTTTTAGGTTAATTTTTTGAAAAATCGAAAATTTATTTTAGCACGTGGGTTGACATTTTTTTTTACTAGGTCAGCTCGATAACTAAAATATAGGATTACGACCCAACCATACGTTTAAGGTTATTGTAAAAATTAAAAACATTTGATGTATGCAACAAATATTTTGATGTATCGATTTGTGAATGTTTGATATTTGAACTTTACTGGGCAATAGGCTAAATAAATGTTTTTTTAAAATAATTAAAAATAAAACAATCTGACGTCAAAATTAAAACGAGTAAAAATTAAAATGCCAATTTCAAGGATTTTATTTTATTTTACTTTTATTTCACAAAGCAATTTTGATTCACGAACCTCGAAACTTCGCGCAGTATTCTTCCTTCTTCCCGCCAAGACAGAACCAGTGCGATTCCATTTCCCTCTCGGACTCGATCATCGGAAGCCGAAAGAGTGAGATCAATGGAATTTAATCTGAGTGGAAATGCTCTCAAGACCTTCGCTCGCTCAGTCACATGCCTTGCTCGCATCGGAAACGAGCTCGTCATCCAAGCTTCTCCATCGCAGGTACTCGATATTCTCCCTTTTTCCTCGAGTTCTGCCTCCCTAGAATAGTTTAATCAAAGATTCTCACATCGTTTGCATCTGAAGAAACAGTAAGCTTAATTTTAGTGCTAAATTTTGATGAGTTCAAAATTAGGCGGAGATATTTGTATTGCGTAAGCGATTCTGGAAACAGTACATTGTTCGGTGAATTTATATCCAATTTATTGACCATTTATGCATGTAGAACGTGGTTAGCAACTTTGAGCGAAATTAACTTCTATATAGAAATGCAAATTTTCCTCTGCTCTTTGTCTGGAACCAAAATTGAGTGAACTTTGTTATGTCAATTTGTAAAATAAGATGGAAATAATGTGGCTAAAACCTTGAGGCTTGCTTAGCTTGTTGAGTTGTTTTGGTATGGAAATTATATGGAAGGATCAATTTTAAAGCTGATTGTTTTATTTTCAAGTTCAGTTGGCTTTTTACACCCTCAATGCATCACGGTCTGCCTATCAAGCTATAACCTTTGAGCCTGGGTTCTTTGATACTTATGCCATTTCTGGTAATCAAGTGCAATGCAGTGTTCTTTTGAAGGTATGCATGATCTTGTGCTGTATTGCATTCACTAACAGTACCTTAGCACCTATGCTTACTTATTATGACATTCCATGTCAGGCTGTCTGCTCTGTTCTTAGAACATCCATTGCTAGCGTAGACCATCTGAGAGTGCAGTTACCAGATACTTATGCATTGAAAATACAATGGAGTTTGGAATGCTTCAATGGTCAGCTGCCCTTTTATAGTTTATACGAGTACTCACGTTTATCTAAAAATCATGTTTAAATGATCTATGTTCATTGATACAGATGCCTACTAATTAAGAATGTCACACAATGACGACTAACTTACATGGTTCCAGTATGTTGACATTGGTTGATTATATATCCTCTGAGAACTACAAATAAAGAAAATCTAATATTTTTAGTGTCATGTACACTAAGCATACAACATCACTGCATCGTGTGCTGCTATTATGCTGGTAGTTATATTCAAAGATAGAGGGGCAATAAATGAAGCCTTTGGTATATATATATATATATCTATAACAATGTCCAATAAGCGCAACAAAGTGATGCAAAGGTGAAAATGCACCATGATGATGTCTTTTAATGCGTTCCATGTTTGCAATTCATCCAGTTATCAAGGGTATAGATTACCCTAAACTTGTTAAAATTGGCCTACATAAAAGTGATGCAAGAAGGATCATTGTTCTTACGAAATGATTTTGTGTTTTCAATACCATATAGTTTTATACTATGATAAATTTTCCCTTAAATACATCAATCTTATCTGGTTTGCAGGAATAAAGAAAACATACTGCATTTCTTGCAACGTTGAGCCAGACATACAGCACTTGTCTCTTGACAGGAGACAGTTCCCAAGTGACTTAGTTGTGAGACCTCGAGATCTGAATCGATTACTATCTAATTTTCAGTCATCCTTGCAGGAGATCACTGTTATTGCAACAGAACCAACTTCCTTACCTTCTGAAGCTGCAATTGAGATTGAAGGAAAGGCTGTTGAGCTTCGAAGTTATATAGACCCAACCAAAGGTGATAATGATATGTACAGGCCTAGATTAATTAATATATTTCACCTTAAAAGTTTTCCCCCAATCAACTCCTTAGAGATGTTGACTCTTGAAAATTCGTTACATTCAATGGATCTACCAAAATATAGGTGATGCTTCATTCTTTAACTGCAGACAATGACGCGCTGCTTCATACTCAACTCTGGATAGATCCTATGGAAGAGTTTGTCCATTATTCTCACAGTGGAGATCCGGTAGACATAACATTTGGAGTAAGAGAATTGAAGGTACTTGTTGGATCTCACTTGTGGATTTATTCAATTTTTTTTTTTTTTTTTTTTTTTTTTTTTTTTTTTTTGTGATTTTTCTATTTTTTTAGATTTTAATATCATTTTCTACTTAATTTGATTCAACAAAGTGTAATAGTTTTCAACCATCTTTCCAATAAATTTTGTGGTTGGTGACCAAGTTTTATGCTTTAGTTAGGAAGATCGTTACTAGTTCTTAGTGTGAGGAAAAAGTTTAAGAACATAGTTAGTGTTTCCTCTACGGTAAATACTCCTTAAGATGTACGATTTTTCACCCTAATAAATAGAATTTTAAAGCTAAGTGCTTAAGCTTTCTTCGCTTCAAAAGATAGAGCCCCTCAAGGTGTTCCTTTGCCTCTTTTACTTGTTTCGACATAATTTTGATCGAGGGTCACATCCAACATTTTGTATTACGGCTTTGAGGATGTCGAAACAAATGTCGTNTTCTTCTATATGCTTTGTGGTGAGTTGATATTATTGTTATTATTATTTTTACAATCTTGGGCTATATTTAGGAAGCACAATTAATTTAAAGCTTATCTTTTTTGATATTCATGGTTTAGAAATTTTCTTTAAGCTACTTTCATCATCATTTCAGGCATTTCTTTCTTTCTGCGAGGGCTGTGAAGTTGACATCCATCTGTTTTTTGAAAAAGCTGGGGAGTAAGAATTGCACGTCTCTTGTCCTCTGACTTTTTTTTGTTTATTTTTATTTATTTTGCTTCCTTTTTTTACATTCTTTTTAGCATTTAATTGTTGAGGTCCTCTGACTTCTAATTGGCATAGTGGTGCTGAAATACCAGTTCTGCTCTTCTAACCGCTTGACTTAGGCATGAAAATATTTTTTTCATCTTTCTGGTTAGCACTTGGTAACTAGGATTCCGAATGAAATACAAATATTAGAGCACAAGAAGGAAAAATATGTACAAGATGTGCCTGAATAAGATTCATTTTACGGAACTGCGAGGTGTATTAATTTCTACTTGGTTAAATGTTAAATGGCATGTAGATCTGGTGGGAAGTTATATACAGTTTTGACGCTTATTGTCCATGGATTATTTGTGTTAGCTCCCAGAGGAAGGAGTATTACGTCCATCCTCTTCTAAATCTAAAAAGCAATTTCTCTAGCCTGATCATTTAATTTTGATGCTACACTTGTTCTTATGGTGCAAGTAATTTTCATACAAAGTAAACTTTGTTACTGAATATGATAGGATTTTGTATTTGGGTGTGCAGGCCAATTCTATTGGCGCCAAAATTTGGTCTAGATGATGGGTCTGGTACAAACTTTGATGCTACACTTGTTCTTGCGACCATGTTAGTATCACAGCTCCATGCGGGAAGCCGATCACAGCCTCCACAAGAGGCTACTACTGGACAGGGTGAATCTGATCACAGGGCTGGGTCCCAACCACAGCAGGATGGGCCCGGAGCTAATGTTTCTGGCCATCCATCTGATCATACCAGAATATGGTCTGAACTCTCAGGTCTCTATTTTTATCCATGCCTGAACCTAGGCCTTTCATAACCCTGTCACAAAATCTTTAGTTCTCTCATTTGAGTAGAACTTCGATAAAAAAAACTGTTTTGTATTTAAAATCATCCTTCGACCCTTTTTTAGGAAGTGCACCAAGAAGTGGGAATGGTGCTGAAGGACAGGTACAAGGCCAGAGCAATTTGAGTTCTTCTGAACAGATGGAAATTCAAAGGATTAGTAATGTACAGATTTCAAAAGCTGGGTACGCTCAGGGATATAACCTTGTCGATCGTGCTAGGTATCCTTTACAATGCAACCTGTCTCCATAACGATTAGTTTTGAAGTGATAATCTGGTTATGTTGTTTGTATGTGATGTCGCTTACAATTCTAATGAATTTCACACCAATGTGAATGTTAGTTTACTTAATAAAATTGGGTATGGGGACCCCGTCTTTGCTGATAGGATCGAACATCTACCTTTCATCAAGAATATTCTTAGTATTGGAAGGTGATGTGGAGCTAACTATAATTTAGAGCCTTCAGTCCTATCCGACTAGATTTCTTTCTTTTTTTGGACTGGACTAGGTTTTGGAAACGGGATACTGACATCCTTGCCGGAAAACTGTCCTTTCACTAGCTATTATCGTAAAATATAGTACTTCATGCCTCACAAAGCACTTGCTTGTCGTTGTTGTTTGGAAGAAGTGAACACTGAGAATAGCATGAACTTGTATATTGCATTTTTTTTTAACAGAGATCTTACAACTAATATAAAACACCCAAAGAAGTGGGCAACAATTGAGTAAAGTATGGAAAACATTAATGAAGTATGGGACCGGTTTCACCATTGATAAGACACAGCAAATTGAAAATAAGGAAGACTGTAGAGTTACCAATGTGTGCGTATTAGGTGAGTAGAAGGTTGAGGCAGTTTCCTCTTCACCGTACAGCAACTGTACTATGTTGTAACTTATACATTGTTACTGTACTCAACTTAGAGAACATTTCTATCTTTTAGTTCGTGAAATATTATATTTTTTTTCCAGATATATTTACTTATAGTTCTTAAGTAACATGACTGTTTAATGTAGAGACCATTCTGTGGGAAGGGATCTGGGAAGAGAACATCAAGGTCAGTAGATACCTCATTATTCATTCACTTAACCCATTATATCTTATTACACCTGCTGCTCGTAACTTTTTCTTGTTGGGCTACACGATACTTTCAGAGAGGTCTGATATAAACGGTCCTGCCGTTTCTCAACACCATCCCAGTAACTGGGTAGATGAAGAAGATGAGGATGATGACAACGATGATGGGGATGATAACGAGTTGTGTGTTCAGTCAACTCCACCATACTATGAAGAACACTAGACAGGTATTTTTTTTTTTTTTTTGTTTGTCTTAATTACATGTTGCATCTACTTTTTTGTTGGCTCATGAACCTAATTAGATTGTTGAGCCCTATCTCGTAATTTCTTCCAATCACATATATGTTTTGTTTGACTCTGCTTATTGGTCCCTGTTTGTTTTGAAATTATCTGAACTATGCTACTGTTTGAGGTGTGACATGTACCTTTCCTATCAACTACATAATAAACTATTGCGATTGAGCTTATTTACCACTTAATCAAGGTAGATCACGAGCCCTCATAACAGATGTATTTTCCCGATGGGTTATTTTTATGTTTTCTCTCCCCCTCTTTTTATCTATAATTGGAGAGCTCTTTCAATAATCTCTACTAATCATGTGGCAACGCTTGACTCTGCTATATTTGGTGGTGAAGGTAACTCAGGGGATACTAGATCGTAGGTAGGTGGTCACTACGACTTGAACTCATTCCCTCTAAACCCTTTATTATATACACGACTTTTATTGAGAAAAAAAAAAAACCTTGATCTAGGTAATATTTGTGTAATCCCATTAAATAATAGAAATAGTTAATCTTATTATATTGTTACTAGTGATTAGAGATTTATATAGATTTATCTTGTCTTGTTACCTATTACCTGTTACCTATTATCTAGAGATTTATTTAGATTACCTAATATCTAGTAAATCTAGATTTAGTTAGCCTTTCTTTTAGTTTGTCTTTATGGGGACATGTAATTCTCTTGAAAAAAGAAAAAAAGAAAAAAAAGCTAATTTAGATCGGTCATACACCCTCATACTGACCAATATGGAATGGTAAAGACTTATCTAGGATGAAAGCATGTAAAAGAGGTTTGAAATGGGCATGCAACCATGGACAACACGTCATGGACAAACAAGATCAGAATATCTGTCATGCGACCATTGACAACACGCCTTGGACATGCATGACCGTGACATCCTTCCCCACTTAATTGGTTGACGTCCCTGTCAACCAACCTGAACAAGCAAGACTAGGACATCTGTCATGCGGCCATGAACAACATGCTTTGGACAAGCATGATCGTGGTAACAGTTAATAATAGGTTAAATCAAATGTATTTTTTTTTAAATATTTTATTATTTTATATCTGTGAATGTCTGTATCAGTTTGTGCAGAGTTTAACTATCTGACAAGAAAAAAAAGCAAGCTAATTTAGACCTTGCTACGTTTGGTCGTCAAAGTTGGATATTAAATTCTAAGTAGGTGGCTACTGTGAGTTTGTTCTTTCCAAAACTTTTATTATTTACATAACCCTTATTTACCACTATATAGGTGGTTAAACAAATTCTTTTGTAGTTGGGCATTTTCCATTTCTCCAGCATTATTGAATCACATTTTGTACTGTTTGGCAATATCACACATAACCAGTTGTCTGCTTTCTACACTATACTCATGCATGTATGCCTGCCTGCCTGCCTGCCTGCCTGCATATTGACAGGGTAATCACATACCAATTCGACAACATAGTTCGTACGACGTTAAATGCAGGGCCCGACTTCAGAAGACACCAACACGGATGGCTCAGTCCTATGGAAGTGTAGCGTAACATCAACCTGGGCGTGAGAAGAAGATGCCAACTCCCTCAACTCCCTCTCATTTAGCTGGTGGTTTGTGTATCCTTGCCTTAATCATAGGGTCAGTTTGGTCATAAACTGTTCATCTTTTACCAGTTCCAGTAAAGTTGTAAACAGAATCAGCTGTTGGTTTTGGGGTCTTTTGTACTTCTTTTGGATTGATTTCAGGTATTTTTTTGTTGGGACGGGAATGATCATGAGTTTATAAGCAAGGAATACTATCTCTATTGGCACGAGACCTTTTGGGAAGCTCAAAGCAAAGCCATGAGAGCTTATGCTCAAAGTGGACAATATCATACAATTGTGGAGATCCGTGATTCCTAACATGGTATCAAAAGTGAATAAAGTGTCGAACAAACGGGGTACCTTTTGAAGAAGCCTAAAGCAAAATCATGAGAACTTATCCACAAAGTGGACAATATCGTACCACTTTGGAGATCCGTGATTTCTAACATTTTTTAATGTCATTTTATAGATATGATGGGCATTCCGGAAAAGCTGGAAGAGCAAAAGCTTTTTACTGGAGAAAAAAGAAAAAGCCTAGTGAGCCATCCTTCTTGATTGCTTGATTGATTTCTCTCACTTTTTTATTATTTATTTTTTTTATTTAATTTGTTTTTTTCGTCTTTAAATTAAAAAAATGTGCGTCGAAGTCTTTGAATTTTCAATTTTGTATTCGATAAGTTATTAATATGTTTTTAAAAAATTTAATTTACTTGTGAGATTTTGTTAAGGTATTTTTTCTTCTGTTTATTGGTCTTTTAAAAAAAATAGTTGTTTTAAAATTTTCCATTTTTTAATATAACTTTTATTAAAAAAGTATTAAAAAGATAATAATAAATTATTATATTTCATAGGCAAAAATATATAATGTTTTATTAACATAATTTTTAAAATTTTAAATATTAATATTACCTCTTTAATAATTTAAAATAATTAAATAAACAACTGGAAAATGGAGATTTGTAATAAATGAAGAATAAATAATTTGATTAGGTAAAAATAATTTGAATTATTCTATATTTAATTAATGACAATATTACTTACTATAATTGATTTAGGTTTAATAAGAACTAAATAATTTGAATCGACATATTAAGTGTGGAAATAAATAATCATAATTGGAGGGTAAAATGGTAACAAATTACAACAAAAATATCCATCAAATCTAAATGTGGAAATTTTGAGAAATAAAGAGTTTATATTCAGTTTAAATTCTATTTTAGTTTATATAATTATAAGTTATTTATTTTAGTCCTTGTATTTTTAATAAATTTCAAACTTAGTCCCTACCTTTATTTAAAGTTAACTTTTATAAAAAAAAATATAATTAAACAATAATAATAATTTTTGTGCAAAAAAATAATTAAAATTAGGAGAAAGGATAATAGCGATTATTTAAAAAAGAAACCAATTTTAAGTTTAATATTTGAAAGTATTAGGACTAAAATGAAATTTTAATATTTACATTTATTCATATTATAATTTTTAGGTTAAACTATATTCTCGAGCACTAAAAGATAAAATGAGAGAAATCATGAATAAAAAAGATAGCTCGTAAATTTATTCATACTTTATTATTCCTAATAAGAATATAAAATATTACTTTTTATGAAATAAAATGAATTCTATAGAAGAAGATTTAATTTTATATATATATCGAAAAAGTAAATATATTCTTAGCTTGTCCATTTTAATTTTAATTTTCTTCAAATTAAAGACAAACTTTTGAATTTAAGAAGAAAATAAAAGGAAGAAAAAAATAATAATTTACAATAGAAATTAAAAAAAAAAAGAAAATAATAATAATAATATATATATATATATATATATATATATATATATATATATATATTCTTAGCCCTTTTAATAAAGCTTCCAATTATTCGTCCTTCCTATGTCCTACCTACTTTCTAGTTACCAAACCTTTGGATTCATTCACAATTTTGTTTAAATGGGATTTAACCCATTATTATTATTATTATTTATTAAAATTGATATTTATTTATGACATTTTTGCCCTTGCTCCTTCAGCTTTATTTCCATTTGGGTCCTTTGTTTGTCTATGTGTATTTTTAGGTCAATGCAAACGTATTGTATGATGCTTAGTAATGGTATTTTTGTCTTTTCCAATGCTTTGAAAGTCTTTTCTCTGTCATTATTTAATTTTTCCTATTTAATAAAAAATATATTAGGATTTACATATTTATTAAATATATTATAAAATAAGTAGTTTTAGTTTTTCCTATTTATTAAAATAAGTATCTTAGGTTGGTTGGGTGGGTGACTCGAACAACCTAGATAGAGTTTACAGCCCAACCCAACTTGAAAGTAGATTGAGTAAGATTGTCGGGTTGTTTTTTTAATAGCTAAAATTTTATAAAACACAAAAATTAAATATTCACAAGTCACAATATATCACTAACGTTAGTTACAAACGTGAAATATTTTTAATATTATAATAATTAAAAAAGTATGGTAGAGTAGGGTTCGATTATAACCATATTTTCGGGTTGGTCAGGTTGACCCGATAAAACACGTCAACACTTGAACCAACCTAACCCAAATCGAAAAAAATATAACTCAATCATATTTTTATCATTTGGGTTTGATAATCCAAGTTGATCGAGTTCTCGAGTCATTTCAACATTATTAATTGTGAGGCGAAGAAAAAAAATTTATAAATAAAAAAAACAATTTAATTGATTTTTCCAATTTTAATTAAAAAAGTAAAAAAATTGCGCAAATTTGTAATTTATATTCCATTCAAGCCTTAATTATTACGCTGTAAAAAATAAACAAACCACTTTATTAAATATAATAAATAGTTGAAAGTTGACGGTAACGGAGATAACGGAGCAATTGGTGGTGGGGAGTTAGGTCAAAAAAGAGAACGGCAAAAAGAAAAAGCATGGAATAAACGCGTTTCGGTTAACAGATTCTTTGACGGACTTTAAAAATAATTTCCTCTTATTTTCTTTTTTAAAAAACAATTAATTATTAATAAGTTGTATTTATTTATTTAAAAAAAAAACCATTTCCTTCTCACCAACAATGGAAGGAAGACAGCCGGTCAACTACATGCTGTGTATTCGGTGGAACTTGAAAAGTCCAAAATGCCCCCATAGTTTTGTTTTAATTACCAAGTTGACATTGTTAGGTGGCTTACAAATAACGACATAATTAACATAATTTTTTTTTTATTATAAGAAAAATAGAATTTTTACTTTTAGTAGAAATAAATTACATTTTCTATTTATTTTTCTAGGGATCGGGAGGGGTTTCAAAAAATTCGTGAGAATTGGGAGAGGATTTGAACAGGGTCAGGTAGGGGTAGAGCGGGATCCGTTTAAACGAAGATTCACGACTCGACTCGATTCGAGACGGTTCCCACAGGTTAAATGGGCTTTTTGATCCTCTTATTTCATCGTTCGAGCTCAATTTCGTATCATTTTATGAAACGATCGGGGTTCGACTCTAGATGCTTTCTATTACTCCGAGTTTAATATGAATTTCATTGATTGATTTTTATTAGTATAAACAAGCTATATGAACATTCAAGCTAAAACGACGGCGTTTTGCACGAGTTTGTTAATATTTCTCCACGATGTGGAGTCGTTATCCCATGACGTCATAACAAAGACTAAAGAATGGCATATTCGTTATTAAGTGGAAATGTAAGGGTAGATTTTCAGACCACGTTCTAAATAAGTCTTTCAACTGGCTTCTTTACTGCTCGCTTTTTCTGTGCTAAAGAAGAAGAACCCACCGACGAATTGCCGGAGCGACTGCCGGAGCTGAAGAAACCGTCAATTCCGAGACTTCAGATAGAGAAAGAGAGAGAGAGAGAGAGAGAGAGCAGAGAGAGATCTTGTTCTTGCATGGCAATGGCCGGATTCAATTCCTCGACATTCTTCCTGATCTGCGCCGCTGTGTTTGTGGTCTTCAGCTGCTCCTCAACCGCCGTCCACGGCGGCCTCGGGATCCAACACAGCCTCGGATGGATTCCTAACCAATCGACCTGCAAAGGCACAATAGCGGAGTGTTTCGGAGGAGAGGAGTTCGAATTCGATTCGGAAATCAGCCGCCGTATCTTGGCCACCAGTCAGTACATCAGTTACGGCGCTCTGCGGAGGAACACCGTCCCGTGCTCGAGACGCGGTGCATCATACTACAACTGCCAGCCCGGAGCTCAGGCCAACCCTTACAGCCGTGGATGCAGCGCCATTACAAGGTGCAGGAGTTGAGTAATTTGTTTGTACTCTCTGTTTAATAATCTCTTTCTCTCCTTTCAATGTTCATTGATCTTTATTTTTTTCTTCTTTTTTTTCCTCTTTTTTGAGATTGCTTTGGTTGTTATACAAATTGAAAAGGGGAGATTGATTATATAATGTCGTCGTTGTCGTTATTGTAAGTGATGAAAATTGTTGTGCTCCATTAATTATATATATATATATCTTCTCAATAATGTGATATTCTATTCCTGGCTGGGATCTCTTTCCTCTTTCTTTCCTTTTGTCGATTGAAGGGCAAAGAGATTCTGCAAAGAGATTGAAGAACAAGAAAGGCTGTAATGGCTGGAATTAAGGAGAATTATGGCTCCCATCATGAGATAAGAGTAAGAACAAATTCATCAGTTGTTATAATTAGTATATTTCTCTTATAGAAACTGTGAAAGATTGTGTTTCTGATGCTGTTTTTGGGTTTAGATTAACTTTACAATGCCAATTTCTTTCCATTTTGGGTTTTGATCGGCTGACCAAACCATTTCCTTTCGTTTACTTGTTTTTTTTCTCTCTGTTCTCATCTGTTTATGGTAAAGAATCTTGAACTCTTTAGGAAAAATATTTAGAGAGGGAAGTTTTCCTTGAGAAATCATACCATACTACTGATTTGATTCTTGGTGCTCTTGAATTGGCTATCATGTTGAGGTTGGGTACTTTTCTTAGAACTTTCATTATGTTGACAAGAGAAGTAAATATCAAATATTTGTAACCATATGTATATGTGTGTGCATTGATTATGGTTTTACTTAGTTTTAGTATCATATTGAGGATAATTATGCATTCTAGAAGTAAAATTACTTCCATGGATTGCCCTAATGATCGAAAGGGCGAACCAGATGTTCTTGAGATGTATATGTCTGTGCATTGATTATGGTTTCAAGCTATGGTGTTGGTGGCTATCTATCTAGGATTTCCCGTTGTTATCTGAGGTTTGTTGAGATGTACATGATGTGGATGGGACATCATATATATATATATAACTCAAATGTATTAAGATTCACGAATCTCCACAACGGTATGATAATGTCCCCTTTGAGCATAAAATCTCATAGCTTTTCCCCAAAAGGCCTCATACCAATGGAGATATATTCCTTATAAACTCATGATCAACCCCTTTTGTTGAGAATTGTTGGGAGAGAAGTCCCACATCGACTAATTAAAGGGGTTGATCATGAGTTTATAAGGAATATATCTCCATTGGTAGGAGGCATTTTGGGGAAAAGCTACGAGAGTTTATTCTCAAAGTGGACATTATCATACTGATGTGGAGGTTCGTGAATCCTAATACATTTGAATAGAGATAAAAGATATGCTTATTTGAGTTGTTTAGATGTGAAACATGGGGCGTTAAGGTTAAAAGTGTCTGCTTGAATACAGAGAGTCCCGAATAATTGAGGGCATGATTAGGCTTCTTGGACAAGGGAGTTGAATTTGATTCAAATTAGAGAAGTGGTTGTGATGTCCTATTTGTTGTTTTTGATTTGACATCCAATTAGAGCTTGGTATGATTTTGACATGTCAATTTTCTAGTTCTCTTCTCCATGAAGATATGAACACCAAATCTGGATAGCCTCTCCATATTTGACAGGACCCATTTCCAACATCACTGATCAAACTCTACTACCCATCATGTTGTTTGATAATTTGAATGTGACAAAACATATCTCCTTCCCAAGTTCAGTTTAGATCTGATATAAACTTATGTAGATGTTTCGAGATGCGTTTGTCGATCTCGAAAACAAGGGAAAATGGAATAAACCCGAGTCCCTTATAGCCCTTTCTAGATCTTACACAATTTCTTTTGGCTGATTTAGCTGATAGGTAGGAAAGATGGTTGAGGAGTTTCATATGGGATCTTGTAGGATTTGAATCTGCTGCACAATCTTTTGATTTTGATTTGAATGGGTCACAGATCTAACTTGTCCTCCTGGGTTTGTTCATCCTTGTGTGATGTCGATCTCGATATATGAATTCGAGACCGTGTAGACGATCCAGCAGCTCAACGAGAGCGATGTCTACATGATATTCTTGAGGGTGAATCTATTTCTGGCTTGTGTTCTTCCATGTAGTGTTTGTTTGGTTCATGACCTTGAGGAGTTTCATATGGGATCTTGTAGGATTTGAACCTGGATTTTGATTTGAATGGATCAATATCTGACTGTTCATCCTTGTGTGATGTCGATCTTGTTATATGAAGTTGAGACCGTGTAGACGATCCAAACAATTTAAAGTTGTGAGATCTCACATCGGTTTGAGAGGGGAACTAAACATTCCTTTATAAGGGTGTGGAAACCTCTTCCTAACATACACGTTTTAAAACCTTGAGGGGAAGCCCAGAAGGGAAAGCCATTGAGGACAATATCTGCTAGCGGTGGACTTGAGCTCTTACACAAAGAGAGCAACGTCTACATGATATGCTCGGGGTGAATCTATTTCTGGCTTGTGTTCTTCCATGTAATGTTTGTTTGGTTCATGACCAAGTTAATTAATGGTTGGGCCATGACACCCTAGCAGTGACCTAACTGTTGCACATTGTGGTTCCCTTTACAACCAGAAGTTGTACGAATCACCTTTTAAGCATCACTCCTCTCTTTGTTGTCTGTCTTTCCCTCCATGGCAAAGGGCATGGAATGCCCTCAATTTGATCCGTTCATATCGGGTCAGTTTGAGTGAGTTTGACGTATCGAAAGTGCTTTTCGGAGTGCTTCGAGAACAAATACTTCACAGAGGATCGTCTTCAAGCATCGCCTCACCAAACTCATTATTAGTATGTTTGAGGAAAAGATCATAAAAGAAACGATCAAAATGGTGCTTGAATCTATTTACGATCCCGAGTTTTCAGACACATTGCATTTCCACTTGGGGCGAGGTCGCCACTTGACAATTGGGTTTCTAATTCAATTTGTTGGGGTGTTCGAAGAATGATGTCGGCTACTCCAAGTCACCTGCTTATTTGTATTGCTACAATCATGGTGAACAAGAAGAGAGTTGGGAGATTAAGATGCCAAATTAACTCGATATCATTCTGTCTACTGTCAAATCCTAGGGTTCAACCTTGGACAGCTGTAGACATCAAAAGTGACAAGAGTTAAACTAAAAGATACACAATAGAATCAACGTAAAAACGTTTAGAGAATGACATGATGCCACAAACAATACGATTTGAACAAGCATGACCGTGAAAAATATCATTAATCAAATTCATATATATATATATATATATATATATTTAAAAAAATCATACTAAAAGTGTTTAATTTAGCGGCACATAAACGAGTTGAAGTGAAATTTATCTTTGCTTTGTGCATCTAAATCGATGTTTTTCGACATTTTGAGCTACATCTCAATGCAGTCCTAGATGAGCATAATCGAGAACTCACAAGTTGAAGTGAAAGTAGTACTAAAAGGAATGAACCCAACAAAGGCTCCTAGACCTAACCCGGTCAAACTGAAATATGTCTTAATAATCTTAACAAACAATTATGAAAGATCTATGTTTATGATGTGCACGAATACAATAGTGGAAGCTCGAGATTTCATTCATAGAGAGCTCTATGCTGCGAAAATCGATACTATAGGAGAGTATTTGAAGCTCCTATCACGAAGTGCTAGAAGTAAATGTTCTTATTATTATCATCATCATTATTATTATTTAAGGGAAATTGATGAGATTATTATTATTATTATTTATCATTATTTTTGTTGATAATTTAATCACAAACAATTGGCCAAGGAATTGGGCCATGAAATAAATTTTGATCCAAGTAATTGGGCCTATCCCATTTCATCCGGCCCAAGACTCGGCCCTTATAAAGCCCAAGATTCTCCTCATGGCTGCACCAGCTCAAGTTGGATGTTCTTCGCGTAATTTCGTATTACTCTTTTGTTCTTGCTGTTTTTCTATAATGAATTTCTATAAACGAACGGAATTTTCTTTATGCAAGTAATAATAGTTTGAATTAAGTTTTGTTCGTTAGCTCATGTTGCGAATTTGGTGATTTTCTTGTTGGATAAGGTCGAAAGATCAGTTTCCTACAATGAACATACGTCGAGGAGGCCGCCGCCGGAGTTGCCGTCTCTATTACTTCATGGAAGAATCATTTACATCGGAATGCCTGTAAGTGCTTGAATTAGTGTTTGTCCAGTGCTATACGATTTAACTCGTTACTCGATGAACTATTCAACGAATAGAAAGGGAGAATTTACGACTGTTTTTTTCAACAACGTGTTGTCGAGCAGTTTCATAAGAAGAAAAAATCAAAAGAAGAAGCATGTTCTTCGAACTTATAAAAAATAGAAAGGTGCATCTCATGATAATCACGTATTTTCGATCTCTGGAGACGTACAGAGTGATGAAAATTCTAGTTCAGGAATGAGTGAGTCATGCTGTTTTAGGAACCTTGTTTGTTGAACTGAAAGTATCAATTGGAGTACTTTGATATCGTGATCACCTTAGAATAGATTTTGTGAGTACATTCAAGTGCTGAATTTGAAGTTCGGCAGTAATTCTTGAAATTCTTGGCAAGTTCTCGATTTATTTTAACTGATTTTCATTTGTTTCCTCTCGACTTGCATAAGCTTTACTGAAATAGACATTCACTGTGTAAGTGTTTTTAGGTTTTTTTAAAAATTAATTTCGAGGCATAATCGATTTTGAATGTTTAAGAATCGATTGTGCATAGTTTTTTGTTGGATGATGAAAGTCCCCATCGGCTAATTTAGGGAATGATCATGGGTTTATAAACAAAGAATACTCTCTCCATTGGTATGAGGCATTTTGGGGAAGCCAAAGCAAAGCCATGAGAGCTTATGCTCAAAGTAGACAATATCATACCATTGTGGAGAGTCGTGTTCGTCTAACATGGTATCAGAGTCATGCCCTAAACTTAGTCGTGCCAATAGATTGGTAAATCCTCAAATGTCGAACAAAGGACTCCAACATGAAAAAGGAGTTAAGCCTCCTCGAAGGCAGTAAAAATTGACTAAGACTCCAAAGGAGTCGAGCCTCAATTAAGGGGATATGTGGTTTGTTCGAGGGGAGGTGTTGGATGATGAAAGTCCCAATCGGGTGATTTAGGGAATGATCATGGGTTTATAAACAAAGAATACGCTCTCCATTGGTATGAGGACTTTTGGGGAAGTCCAAAGCAAAACCATGAGAGCTTATGCTCAAAGTGGACAATATCATACCATCGTGGAGAGTCGTGTTCATCTAACATTTTTTGACTTCCATCTTATAGAAGAAGTTTTCTGCTTCACGCAAGCATGTCATATGGTTACTTACCTAAAACGTCTTCATTCAATTATTTCTGCTCTCAGTTTGTTCCAGCTGTCACAGAGCTAGTTATTGCTGAACTGATGTACCTGCAATGGATGGATCCAAGAGAACCAATATATCTTTATATAAACTCCACAGGAACAACTCGAGATGCTGACGAAACTGTAAGCTTTTAATTTATTCAGCTACCTGAAACAAGTGAAATTAAGTTGTGAAGGGCATGCATTTCTTTCCTCATGCTTTATATTATCATCTGCCTACATTTTTAGGTTTTGTATTCAGACTATAAATCTGCCTCGTTTATCTACGTGTTGACATGAATATCAACTTGTTTGTCTTGATCTGGAGTTCCTTTGTTTGAGATGTTACAGGACTCATTTTCTAATTTGTTCATCATTAATAATTAAGAAAAACAATTAAAATGAGATTGTAATTTTTAGATTTTTTCTTCCAAAAGTATGTTTAATTGTAATTGCTAAGAGCAGCTTCTTGATCCACAATCTGTGAAATTGGGCTGGGTTTGATGCTGCTCGTGACGTTCTTATTCGTGCAAAAGAGGTCAAGATCCTTCTATAGCCTGGTAATTTATTTTGAAGTAGAACTCAGTTTCTTTGACTCTGATTTTTGCTGGTGTTGAGGATTGTTCGGTGGGAGTTCCACATTGGCTAATTTAGGGAATGATCATAGGTTTATAAGTGAGAAATACATCTTCATTGGTATGAGACCTTTTGGGGAAGCCCAAAGCAAAGTCATGATAGCTTATGCTCAAAGTGGACAATATCATACCATTGTGGAGATTCGTGATTCCTAACATGGTATCAGAGTCATGTCCTTAACTTAGCCATGTCAATAGAATTCTCAAATATCGAACAAAGAAATTGCTAGCCTCAAAAGTGGAGTCAAAAGAACAAAGGGTGTACTTTGTTCGAGGGCTCTATAGTGTACTTTGTTCGAGGGGAGGATTGTTGAGAGAGAGTCCCACATTGACTAATTTAGGAAATGATCATGGGTTTATAAGTGAGGAATACATCTTCATTGGTATGAGGCCTTTTGGAGAAGCCCAAAGCAAGGCTATTAGAAACCACGGACCCCCACAATGGTATGATATTATACACGGACCCCCACAATTTATTCCTTACTTATAAACCCATGATCGTCCTCTTAATTAGCCAATGTGGGATTCCCTCCCAGCAATCCTCAACATAGGCAACGTTTATTTCTACTCTTTTTTTGAACTCACATGTCCCGACGTACCATATAATTCATAATACAACTTCGATATTTTGTCAGTAACTGTGATGAGAAGACCATTGTACATGGATGTACGACAAGAGAGAGAATTTGGAGTTATAGACAAGGTAACCTAACGCACTGATTTTTTTAGGGTATAACACGATGCACATGCTTTGTTGCTTATAATTGTAGTATATAATTCTAATTTGGCAAGTTGGCACCAGATTCTTTGGCGCGGTCAGGAGACGATTATAGCTGATGTCGCTGCCCCAGAGGAATGAGACAAAGGAGCTGGCATCAAAGTTGTAGATGAGCTCTAGATTCCCTCTCAAATCTACTCTCCATTCATAGCAAGTAAGCCGGTTGTTTCTCCTTTTTGCAAACTCAAAACGTTGTTCCATCCTCCAGTATTCAAGTTGCAAATGTCTTAGAAAGCTAATGGAATTTGATTTTCTTTTTGTTGGCAGTGTTTCACTGGAATTGGATCAAGGTCCGTGCCTCTATCTCTCTAGATCATAGACTGGTAATTACTTTTAGTACATTTAGTTCTTAAAATTGAGGAAAATTTGCTTTACTTAGTAGTTGAAATCTTAACAATTCCATCTCAATGTTGTAAATACTGTATGGGTTGCACATGCCTTCCATAAGAAAAGGCTAAATTATAAAATAAGTTCACCTGTTTAAAATATAACCTTATTCTTTTACAAGTTTGCAATGTTATCTTTGACTTTTCATGAGTGTTTGAAAAATGCCATTGAAGTAGCTAGAATGATGGATGAAATCTAGACGTGTCTAAATGCTATTTTTCATACTTAATCCACTATTGAGTCGTTCTAAGTCCGTCAGATCGATTTTTCGTTCAATGTTCCAATGGGTTTCAACTCCGAGAGGAATTTTGAAACCTTTATAATAGGACAATGATAATATTGCAACTTTTAAAAGAAGAGGTATTTTTGAAACAATTGACAAGGTTTAGGCGTCTTTATTTATTTATTTAGCCGGAAAAACATAACTATCAGTAACCACCTTGGATTGGTCTAATGGGTTTATAAGAGCTATCTAAAGAATGAAAGGCTTTGCGAGAACAAGTTCGTCAGGGTGGCTACTTACCTAGAATCTAATATCGTATTGTGAGATTCTACGTCAATTGGAGAGGGGAACGAGTGCTAGTGAAGACGTTGGGCCTTGGAGGAGGGTGGATTATGAGATACCACATCTGTTGGAGAGGGGAACGAAACATTTTTTTTACAAGGGTGTAGAAACCTCTCCCTAGCAGACACGAGAGAGGGAAACGAAACATTTTTTTATAAGGGTGTAGAAACCTCTTCTTAGCAGACACGAGAGAGGGGAACGAAACATTTTTTTATAAGGGTGTAGAAACCTCTCCCTAGCAGACACAAGAGAGGGGAACAAAGCATTTTTTTATAAGGGTGTAGAAACCTCTCCCTAGCAGACACGAGAGAGGGGAACAAAACATTTTTTTGTAAGGGTGTAGAAACCTCTTCCCAGCAGACATGAGAGAGGAGAATGAAACATTTTTTATAAGGGTGTAGAAACCTCTCCCTAGAAGACCCGTTTTAAAACCCTTGAGGGGAAGGCCGAAAGGAAAAGCCCAAAGAAGATAATATCTACTAACGGTGGGCTTGAGCTGTTACACATACAATTTTAGCAATCATGAGAGAGGGGAACGAAACATTTTTATAAGGGTGTAGAAACCTCTCCCTAGTAGACGTGTTTTAAAAATCTTGAGGGGAAGGCCGGAAGGAAAAGCTCAAAGAGACAATATCTACTAACGGTGGGCTTGAGCTGTTACACATACAATTTTAGCAATCAAATAGAAAATGTCTAGGGAGACAGACCCACGGAGATATCAAATAATAATAATAATAATAATAATAAAAACACCAATAATGTAGCCTCCTCCAACTTGATTGTTTTTAATACATTATCTTGGAAGATTAGTTAGATGATTTTGACAGTTAACACTCTGTTCTTTCTCATGCATTGTTGGATCCAACTAAATTTCCAACATGGTGGAATGAGTTTTATTTTTCTACTCTCTGTCTCTTAAATGTTTGCAGTTTCAGAAGTTGCAAGGGAATGCTTTCAAGTTGCACATACTCCCACGTTGGATTGCAGAGTCAACTGCAAGTTATCAGAGATCATCAAGAAAATCATTATCTTTGCTGGAAGATTGTCTCCCCATGACAGCTGACTCGCCGCATATTTGGGTATGTATAACTTTGTAAAATTTTCATTCCCAATTATATATTTATTAAAAATAATAACTATCATAGAATGCCTAGTGATCCTTAGGGTAAAGGAAACAAGGTTTATTAGGAAATAGGTTTGAAGCTCGGCCACTGTGAGATCCCACAATTCTACATAGGTTGAAGAGTGGAACGAAACACCTTTTATAAGGGTGTGGAGACCTTTCTCTAGCCGTCGCGTTTTAAAAAATATTGAGGGGAAGCCCGAAAGGAAAGCCCAAAAAAGACAATATCTGCTAGCAGTGGACTTGGGCATTACAGATGGTATCAGAGTCAGATACCGGGCGATGTGACAGCGAGGAGGCTATTCCCCGAAGGAGGGTAGACATGAGGTGGTGTGCTAGTAAAGATGCTGGGCCCCAAAGGGGGTGGATTTGGCGGGGGTCCCACATCAATTGGAGAAGAGGACATTGAGCCCTGAAGGGGGGTAGATTGTGAGATCCCACAATCCCACATTGGTTGGGGAAGAGAACGAAACACCCTTTACAAGGGTGTGGAAACCTTTCCCTAGTAGACACGTTTTAAAAAACCTTGAAAGGAAGCTCGAAAGAGAAAACCCAAAGAGGACAATACCTGCTAGCGGTGGACTTGGGCCATTACAACTATCGATCTAAGATACTGAAGTATTATAATATAAAGATATAGAGTTACATATGATTAGTTGAGGTACTTGAAACTTGACTAGGATGTGTAGTAACCCAGATTACAAAATATTGGTTTATCGATTAGGGTCGAGAGATTTGAGGGAATAAGTTTAAGTTTGGTAACCACGTCTTTAGGATTTCATATCCTACAAACCATCTTAACAATAGATGTAATAGGGTGACGTGGTAGTTTCATGAGTATAGTTGAGATGCATGCAAGGTAACGGTTAGGTTTCGTGTATCTTAAGAACTTTTGATGATAACGGTATAACTTCTAAGCAAAGTTTTAACAACAAGAACAAAGCTTTCGTGAAGACGGTTGAGAAGGGCTTGTTATAGTTTAATCTATTGAAAAATGTCCGTGAATATAGTTGCACGAACCTAATTTATACACAAATTTAAAAGTTTATGTACAAAATTTGTAATTTGACCTAAACGGTAATTTTATTTTATATTTTAATGCCTTTCCTTAACATTCCCTTTAATTAGAGATTAATTATTTTGTCTAGTTGGCAACAGATTTTATGTAATATAAAAATATATTTAAAGATCTAGATGTTGCCATTTTGTTTGAAAATTTTAATTTACAAAAATAATTCATTTTTTATTTGAATTATTTCATTCTTAGTTTGAATAAAGTAGGATATGCAAATCATGTACTTATAATAATTTTAATTAGATCTCACATTCTTAATTAATCTTAACTTAATACTAAATTTTGTTATTTTATATAATTTCTATTTGTGCTAGCCTTCAACAAAAAAAAAAAAAAAAAAAAAAAAAT